AGTTCGCAGCGCATCTGTCCTGCAGCTCACGCACCAGAGGCCGCTGACGCAGAATCTAGCTCCACAACAACTTTTGCGCTTGGGCAGGGCGGCCCGCGCGCCGGAGGGAAACCTCTTCCGCATCTCAACGTTTTGCCCGCGCATTTCGTTACCAACGAAAAAGCAGGGCGTCCGAAGACGGAATGTGTGCCGCATGGCTACGTCTTTGACAGGGAACGCCGCGACCTTTGAGCGTCTGATCAAATCAGATGTCGACTGGAAGTTATTTGTGTACTCTGCCGATTTGCGGTATGTAATACAGTCCACCCTTCTTGCCTGTTCCCCCCCCCTCCCCAAGCCCCCCTTTTCCTCCACAAAGTCAACGGTTTGAGTTTGCAAGCGTGGATCTTCCATCTGACCTAAAACGAGGACGCATTTGGAGTACCTCCGGATGTGTGACTGCTTTGTTGTTGCTAGTTATACTCATGCCCACGGTTAGTACACGTGGGATCTCTCGCCCGTTCCCCGATGTGTGCTCGGCGAACACTGACAAATGTCAGCCGCAGAAGTCCGTACTCCTGGTGCGGGCTGTGCCGCGATTGCCGTTGGCCCTGGGGGAATATTTCGAGCATGCAACAGAATGTCCAAGAGTGCCCCGACGCAAAATCTCCCAACTCCTGGGGGTGTTTTCAACCTGTGAGATGCTTACCCCTCCCCCGACCCATGCCCCCCGGACCCGGGTCCTGTCGATTTGGAGGGAGGGGGGTCCGCCCAAATCACCTGGGCCCGGCCCCAACGCATCATGGGAGGATAGAGGGCCTCACAACGAGCCCCGAGGGCTCCATGAGGCCCCCAAGACGGTCCAAGAGGGCCCCCAGTCGCCGAAAAATCTTCCAAGACAGCCAAGATGGCCTCCAGACGGCCCAAGACGCACCCACCACGCCCCATCAGGCCTCCAAGAGCCATCCCAAGAGGGCCCCAAGACGCAACATTGATAGCTCCTCGCCTTTTCATTTCCCCACGCTCCATGACAGCCCAAGAGGCTCCCAAGATCCCCCCCAAACGGCCCCAGAGGCCTCCAAGCGGGCCCCTGAACGGGCAAAGGGGGCCCCAACACGGCCCCAAAGACGGCCTCAGAGGCCTCCAACGTGGCCTAAGAGAGCCCCTTCCACGAAGCTACAAGAGGCCCCCCATAGGTCCCCATGAAGACCCTAAAAGGGCACCAAGAAGCCCCGAGAAGGCTCCCACGAGGCCCGCAGGAGCAACACGCCGCAACCGCCAGGGGGTCGGCGGTCTGGCGTAAGTCAAAGAATCAGCAGCCTCCATGACATCGCCGCTCGCAAGCAAGCCGAACGATGGGCTTTGGTCGAATCGGCGGCGAGCGAGGGGGAGAAATGAGAAGGAGAAGGCCTTCTCGGCAGGTTCGGAAGTCCCGCGGCCTGCTGAGAAGTGCCCCAAGCCCGCGCCGAAAGCACAGAAAACCCCACAGAAAACGCGAGGGCTTCTGGGAAGCCCCGCCGCCTTCTGAGAGAGGCCCCCTCCTTCTCTCACTTGCCCCCCTCGCTCGCCGCCGAGCAAGCCGAAGAGTCCGCGACCTCCGTGGCATCGCCACTCGCCAGCAGGCCGAGCCGTGGGCTCTGGCCGAATGCCTCTGGGCCGCCTTGGCCCGGCGTGGCGAGCTCGCCGCGGCGCCGAGTTGGCCCACATTTCCGGCGCCGTCACCGAGGACGGCGGAAACGATGGTTAGAGGCCATGGGAAACTACTGTCTGATCTGAGGGCCGAGGCCCCGCCGCGCCGCCCTGCTCAGGGCCGGATCCCGGGAATCCGATGGCAGCGCGCTCGCTCACTCGCTCGCTCGCCGTGGCGAGGTCGAGCCTGCCTCAGCGGCCGCTCTGCCTGGCACCAAACGCTACATCGCCGCAGGAGGGAATTCTGGACGAAAATTTGAAAATAGCAAACAAACACCACAATAGCTAAAACATTTTCGAAGAATCGTCCCCATACTATGATTTTTTGATTATTACTATTTTTGAATATTCCCCCTGTAGAGGGTCATGCCCGACTGAACCCAAGCCACAGCCTCCCACCGATGCCCCCCAGCTCACCTGGCTGGCCCACGCTCGCCATACTGAGCACGCCAGAGCCACTGGGTGTTGCACCCCAGATTTCGGGAGCGACCAAGAGGGGAGTGTCCAAGGGGGGGGTGCAAATCATGACCGGCGGCATGTGCGCGGCCCAGCGGGGGGCCCAGGACGCAATCAAACAAGAAGAGGCGCCATGAACTCTGGGGAAATATCATGGCCCCCGCCATGAGATCCACCCCCCCGAGCCATTGCCTCCCTCTCTGCCCCCCCCCCCCGAAGACGGGCGCGCACCCGCAGAAGCGCCCAGTACTTCCCGGGCTGCCGCGCGCGAAGCTCGCCGGCGGGGCCGCGCTGCCCCCATGGCCGAGGTGGCGGGCCCTGGCCGCCCCACCGCCCGCAGGCCGCAAGCCGTTCTCTTCGGCACCCATGCTCAGAGGGGTGGCTCTCGGAGGCATCCAAGATGGGGTCGGAGCAGATGGTGATGGGCTTGTTCTAGGGGAACAAAAAATAACAGAAACATGAAAACTGGGAGATCCGCGCAGACATCTCGGATCGGCGCTGGGGGCCCCCGGCGGCGCCTCCAACGCCGCCCCTGGCGCGCTCCGCGCGCCAGGGAGGGGGGTCCAGACCCGATCCGAGAAATCCGCGCGGACCTCCGAGTTTTTCCCTACATAGGCTCTGCCTAGAAGGGTTCTTACTCGGTTTTTCTTAATGGGCCGGGCAATGGAACGCCCCGGGCGGTTCCCCCAGTATCCGCCCCGCGGTTCCCCCAGTTACGTCCCGTCCCCTTAGCTTAGCGCTGCTTATCTTATCTTACCTTATCTTAGCTTAGCCTAGCTGAGCTTAGCTTAGCTTAGCCTAGCCTAGCCTAGCTTAGTGTTGCTTAGCTTAGCTTAGCTTAGCTTGGCTTGGCTTAGCTTTGCTTAGCCTAGCCTAGCTTAGCTTAGCGTAGCGTAGCCTAGCCTAGCTTAGTGTTGCTTAGCTTAGCTTAGCTTAGCTTGGCTTGGCTTGGCTTAGCTTTGCTTAGCTTAGCCTAGCTTAGCTTAGCGTAGCGTAGCCTAGCCTAGCCTAGCTTAGTGTTGCTTTGCTTAGCTTAGCTTAGCTTAGCTTGGCTTGGCTTAGCTTTGCTTAGCCTAGCCTAGCTTAGCTTAGCGTAGCGTAGCCTAGCTTAGTGTTGCTTAGCTTAGCTTAGCTTAGCTTGGCTTGGCTTAGCTTTGTTTAGCTTAGCCTAGCTTAGCTTAGCGTAGCGTGGCCTAGCTTAGCCTAACTGATCTTACATTCGATTAGCTTAGCGCAGCATAGCGCAGCGCAGCATTAGCGCAGCAAACCATAGCATAGAATAGCCAATCATAACATAGCATAGCATACCATATCATACCGCAACATAGCGTAGCATAGCATATCATATCATATCATAGCATTGCTTAGCATAGCACAGCGCAGCATAGCCTACCATAGCATAGCATAGCGTTTGCACAGCATAGCATAGCGTAGCATATCATATAATAGCATAGCATAGCATAGCATAGCATAGATGTTGCTTTCCTAGATGCTCCAACTCCTAGGTAGGGTCGCACTGGGATAATTCATGTTTATGTGACTGTTTGTTCCCCGATGTTTTCCGCCACCACCACCAGAAGTTGGAGGGGGGAGGGGGTCCTCCCCCTCTGCTTTTCCCTCCCGCTTCTCCTCATCCTTCACCTTCCCCCCTGCAACGTGTGGTGGTGGTGGTGGTGGAAAACAGGCCCATCAGATGGGGTCGGAGAAGCTCGCTGCATCGCCGATAAATCGGCGATGCATCACCCGTGCATCGCCGATGCATCGGCGATGCCCTTGCGACGTCGGCGATGCATCGGCGACGTCGACGTGGAGCAAATCGTGCTCCACGTCCAGCCGCATCGCTGATGCATCGGCGATGCGGTGCGATCCTCCGACCCCAGCTACTCGGACCCCATCTAGGAGGCCTAGAGTTAGGTCGAGCATGTCACCCCCTTCAGGCGGAGTTTGGGCGGAAATAACACAAATACCAAACGTGCTCATCCATAGCCAACCCATACTCCAAAAATAGTCACTGGACTATTTTGGGACCATTTTTGAAGATTCCTGCTGTAGAGGGACAGGCCCGACTTCAGCCTGGAGGTTCTGCCCCCTCATCGTGCTGCGCTCTGCCACGCGGCGCACGGGACATGCTCTCGGCGGCTCCGACGATGCCTCCTGCGAGCCGCTCCCGCTGGGCCCGCCCGGCGTGCCGCGGGCGGGAGCGCCCTCTTCCCTGCAATTGCCGCGCAGGCGGGCGGCGGGCACCGTGTCCTCCTCGCGCCGTCTCGGTCCGCCAGCACCCCTCTCCCCTCCTCCTGCGCCGGGACATCCCCCCCGAGATGGGGTCGACAACGGTGTGGTCCCAGGATCGCGCCGCTTCGCTGGTGCATCGGCGATGCATCCAGGATGCACCGGCGATACCCTGGCGACGTCGGCGATGCATCGGCGACGTCGACGTAAGGCAAATCGGGCTCCACATCGAGCCGCATCGGCGATGCATCGGCGATGCGGCGCGATCCTCCGACCCCATCTACTCCGACCCCATCAGGGAGGCCTATAGAGAAAGCGTTTCTCCTCCTCCTCCTTCGAGAAAGCCCGCCGCATCTGTCGAGCCCCTCCTCCCTCTCCGCCGAAGGGTAGCAGAAGAAACAACGGCATCAGCAACAACTATTTAGGCGCTCCGCGTGGATTTCTTGGATCCGCGCTGGACCCCCTTCCTGGCGCGCGAAGCGCGCCAGGGGCGGCGCCGGAGTCGCCGCCTTCGGGCCCCAGCGCTGATCCAAGAAATCCGCACGGAGCGCCAACAGTTTATATTTACATCAATGTTTTTTCGGAAAAAAAACTCCGCATCGCATCCGCCGAGTCCCTGCTCCCTCCTCCGCCGAGGGGGGTCGCTCCTGTCCATCTCGTCGTCGGGGTCCATGGCGTCCTGGCGGAAAGGCGCGGCGCTCGCCACGGCGGGGCCGACCGAGGCCCGGAGCACGAGGCACGGGGCACGAGGCTGGCAGAGGCCAAGGGTTTCCAGCGGCGGGCTCTGCGCAGGGGCCCGCTCTCATCCCTCGGAGGAGGGGGGAGAGGGGAGCAGGAAGAAAAACAGCAGGAGAACGAGGACGAGGAACCCGACGAGGACGAGGAGCCAAAGGACGAAGAGGAGTATGACGAGGAGGAGGAGGAGGAGGAGGAGGAGGAGGAGGAGGAGGAACGGGACGAGGAGGAGAAGGACTAGGAGGACGAGGACGAGAAGGAAAAAAACAAGGATGATGACGAGGAGGAGGACGAAGAGAACGGAGACGAGGGGAAGGAGGACGAGGAGGAGGGCGAAGAGGACGACGACGAGGAGGTTGACGAGGAGGAGGACGGGGAGAATGAGGAGGAAGAGGAGGACGAGGGGAGAGGGGAGGACAAGTGGGGGCAATGCGAACGGGAAAGACTGGAGCTTGCCATCGCGCGCGCCCTTCCCCGTGAGTCGTGCCTGCCGGCTCCGTGTGCCTGCCTGTTCTCTCCTCGCAAGGTGAGCAGACGTGTTCATTGATGGCCCTCGCCGAAAACAAACTGCACACGCCCGAGCGATGCTCGGAAGGACACTTTTTCGTCGGCGGTTCGAGGCAGGGGCCGGCCGCGCCAGCGACAGCGATAGCTTAGACGGCGGCACCGAGAAGCGAAGTGGCCAGCGTGCAGAAACGGGACAAGGGCGATGCCAAAATTTGGACGCAACTGCTGGGAGGCTTGCGTCGGAAAGAGTGACGAGGTTAAACTCCATTAGGGGGCTGTTGCGCCAGAGTGGGCCTCGGATCAAGCGGGGCTCAGCCGGATTAGGCGGGATTGCGCGGCATTGAGCCGGATTCGCCGGGACTCAGCCGGAACAGGCGGACAAGAAAAAGCAGGAGGAGAAGGAGGAGGAGGAAGAGGAGGAGGAGGAGGAGGAGGAGGAGGGGAGGGGGAGGAGGAAGACGACTGCCAGGTACGCTATAAGCTTTAAGGGCACCTAGAACTCATTTTTAAGGATGAAGCGACCATCGGAACCCTGGTCAGGGTGATTGCGGTTTTCCACTCACCCGCTGCCCAAATTAGCATGCCCACGCAGAAAAGGAGTTACAAAGGCTCTAGGAGGTCTCATCCTGAAAGTCTTGAGGATGGCAGAAGCCAATCCTTTGAGTCGAACGGTTTCCAGTGATCTTAACGCATGGGGGAAGACTGTTATGAATAGGCGAGGTGGCCACTGACGTGGTACGTCCCACGGTTTCTGAAACATCCCGGCTTGGTTTGGCCATCCTCGGAGACGACAGCCGGAAGGGCTGCTCAGGTGCGCGGGAGAGGCGTCGCGCAAATGATACAGATTGCTTCGGAGGTGCGTATGGCCCTTCTCAGGGCCTTAGACGGGGCGGCGCAAAACCACGGCCTGGTTTTCGCCACCTGGGGGTCAATGTTTTGGTGAATCCCCGATCCCCAACGCTATGCGCTGCGTGCTAGAAGAAGTACTTTTCGTTTCTTCATTGCGCCTGGATCGGGGGGTCGGCGGAGCTCGCGTCTGGCACGCCAGCCCCCCTTGGGAGTGAACGCGCCCCTCGCAACTTGCCCCTCTCGGTGCCAGATTCGGGGCAACATGGAGTAGTGGCGCGCTGCCCTACGCGCCTGTAGCGTGAAAGTCTGAACGGCAGGGAAGGGCGTGGGACAGGGAGCGTAGGACAACAGGGGAAGGGGGGCAAAGGAAAGGTTGGGCGGGTGGAGGGACGCGCGGAAGGAAGAGGGGGGGAGAATGGACCAAGGAAGGAGGACGGAACGAGGAGGCGGAGGGAAACCAGGAAGAGGGGAGACGCCCACATCTTTCGCTCGTCAGACCCGGATTGCAACCCCCACAATGGGTCTGTTGCCCTCCGAGCGGACGGCCGGGGCAAAAAGCGGGCGCCAGCCGAGGAGAAGGCAGGCGCCGGAAGCCAGTTGGATATCGTGCTGGTCTACTCACAAGGTTTCCTGCAAAAGCAATACCCTGGTATCACTAAATACCCCTTGTTTCAGCTGGGGGCGGACCGATGTCAAAGCGCCCCCGTTAAATGTCTGGAACTGCATCGCCGCAGAACTCCGCGGGGTGACAAGGGCTGACAACATTTCAGCGCTACTGGCTTCGCATGCGTTGCCCCGGCGACGGTGGCGCCCCTAATGCTGCGGAGGCGGCCGCGGCGTGGGCCGCGTCAGCGGCGGCGCCCCCTGCCGTCCGCGGCTCGTCAAAGCGGGCTCCGGGCTCGGCTGCGCGGCCCCTTTGGACCTCCGTTTCGCCCTTCTTTGCGCCATCCGGGGAGGTCTTGCTGGCGCCACCCTGTCCGCCTGCGCCGCCCGTTGTCTCTGGCGGCGCCACGGTTTCGGAGGCGCTGGCTTTAGGGTTGAGGTCCGCGACGGCTTCGTCCACGCGACGGCTGTTGGCCACCAAGTTCGCCATCTTAGCGCCAAAGGCGCCTGGGGCCCAGTCGCCAGGGCTTCAGGGTGGGGGGCAACGGCTTCTGCTGCCTCGGTCTTAAGCTGGCGCTGGTACGCGACGATCTGGTTCTGGAGCTCCCCGGCACTAACCTCTTGGATTTTGATGCCCGGGTGCTTCTGAAGGAATTCCAGCGCATCCGCGGACGTCGGCCCCTTGGGGACAGCGGCGGCGGGGGCCGGCATCTGGGCGGCGATCTGCGCGAGTTGCTCGCGGAGGCCGCACGCCTCGAGGATCTTGGCTTGAATGGCTGCTGCTTTGACGTCGTGGGAGTCGCACAACTGGCCGATCTGCACCTCAATGTCGTTCAGAGCCTGGAGATCCTCCTCCAGTTCATTGCTGGCCTTGTCGAGCTTGCCCTGTGTGACGCGTTGTTTCTCCGAGGCGGCATGGGTGTCAAATTGCTCTTCCCTGAGGCGCTTGAGCTTATCGCGGGCCGCTCGGAGGCTCTGGGATGCCCCGTCTGACCCCCGAGCGGAGTGCTGCTCGTAGAAGGCGACCTCCACCTGCGCCATCGCGATCTTGGAGAAGGGGCCGCTGGGGGGCGCGGCCTCTTGCACCCTCGATTGCTTGGCGAGTCGACCTGCTGCGCCCTCGGGGGCCTTGCGCTTGGGCATGCCGCCGCCGCTGCCTGCGTGGGGCTGGAAGCCCCCTCCACGCTGCTCTTCATGGTAGGGTCCGCGGCGGCGCCAGCCTCCGCTGCGGCGGTCGCGCGGCGCCATGGGCGGGGCACCCGGCGTGCACGTGCCCACTTCTGCGCCGCCCGCCCACTCGTTCATGCTGTTGAAGGCGTTGACGGTGCCGCGGTTCAGGGGTCCACCCGGGCCCTTGCCCTTTCCTTTGTCCTGCCCCTTTCCCGCTCCCTTGCGCGGGCGGGCAGCGTGGCCGGTGAGAACGGGGGCCTGCGAAGGCCCAAGGAGTTTCGAAGCCTTTGTGGCCGCTGGCCCCTCCGCTTTGAGCTGCGGGCAGTGGGCTCCACGGTTGCAAGCGTTGCCGCCCGGGCTGCGCACAATTTGCCCATTGCAAGCCGAGCGCGGGCAACGGCCAACAAAGGCCGAGTGGGCGCTCGGGCTGCCGGGCCCCTGCATACTGACCGTGGAAAAGCAGACGGTGCTGACGCAGTGGGCGCTAAGCTTGAGCCAGAACGCTACAACGGCGGGGACAACATACCCACTTGCACGCAGCGCCAGCCGAGGGGAACCGACAGAGAGTCACAATGCGGTACCGCATCAATTACTGGGCACCCCGGGGGGCACGATTTGTCCGCCCCCGGGGGCGCCTCAATCTCGAACAGAGGGCGCTCGTGCAACGTGCGATTGTGGGGGGCCGGGCACGCGCCGCGCATGCGTTAGTGGATGGGTCGGCCTGCCCAAGCCGTGTCGGACTGCCGGGCGCAGAAACCACACGCACAATTTGTTGTCGCAGTGAATGCAACAGTGTGGGGCCCATTTCATCGGCCACGCGGCCGGGACACGATAAATGTGGTGACGTCTACCCGGCTTGCGCCGCATAGCTTGCATGACACACGCGACAGCGTTTTTCTTTATACTCCGCATCCCGCGCGCTCGGCAACCGAGCGCCCGCCTCCAGGGGCGGCTCAGCGCCAGCCGGGCCTGGGGCGACGGCGTACAATATCCTTGTTATGCAACGCAGCGCCCAGGCCTGGAGCAAGGCTGGGGCCCCGGCAGGGCCCCCACAAACTGCCGCAAGTCGTGCCCCCCCAGACTGGAGGGCTCGAGGTGTAGAACCGCATGCAGTCCTACGCAACCCTCTCCCCCCCCGTGCGCGGGGGGGAAGAAGCGGGGGGGGGGCAGTAACAGTAAGGGAGGAGGAGGAGGAGAAGGAGGAGGAGGCGGAGGAAGAGGGGGGGTGGGGGGACTCATTTTGGACTCTTTGATAAGCACGACGTGCTGAGGAAGACGGTAAGAGAGGGCAAGGAAAAAACAGAACCCGCGAAGGTGCCTAAGGATCTCCTCCCCCAGGGAGGAGGAGGAGGAGGAGGAGGAGGAGGAGGAGGACGGGGAGAAGGAAGAGGAGGAGGAGGAGGAAGAGAGGAGGGGGGGGAGGAGGAGGAGGAGGAGGAGGCGGAGGAGAACGAGGCAGAGGAGAAGGAGGATGAGGAGGAAGATGAGCAGGAGGAGCAGGAGGCGGAGGACGAGGAGGAGGAGGAGGAGAAAGAGGAGGAAGAGGAGAAGGAGGAGGAGGACAATTAAAGCAGAGGATGAGGAGGATGAGGAGCCACAGGAGGAGGAGGAGGCGGAGGAAAAAAAAGGGAGATGGGGGAGGAGGAAAAGGAGGAGGAGGAGAACGCGGAGGAGGACGAAGAGTGGGAGGAGGAGGAGAAGGAGGAGGAGGAGGAGGAGGAGAAGGAAGAGGAGAAGGAGGAGGAGAAGGAGGAGGAGAACGAGGCAAAAACGGGGGCGGAGGAGGAGGCGGAAGAGGAGATGGGCGGAGGAGGA